CATTAGTAAATTTAAATATTGAAAAATATTCTCTAATGAAGATCGGAACCAGAGCCGCTAGGAAGTACGTTACACCCGGTGAGCACATTAAATTGCAAATGCTCTGTTCGCCCTGATTACTAGCTCCCTCCTAACAAATAGGCCGTTCAAATGACTATCTCTTTTTTTTTTACTTTCTAGAGATACAATTATGATTCGACTTAGCAGAATTGTTAATTTCAAATTTTTAAATAAGTAAAGGAGAGAAAAAATAAATTGGTAGTTTTATTTATATTATCATACTACAAAGTTAATGGATGATACTGTCAAAAATTGTCAAAGAAAAATCACAGAAAGACTCAGAGGTCATTGCAAATTTTAATACGAACATGAATATAGAAACAAAATGGACACACCGGAAAGATACTCTCAAGGATGCAGCAAAGGATACTCTTGTCACAATATAAAAATGCATCGTAATGACTTGTTTGTTGAGGACTCTGTGAGAGCTGTTGGAGGAAAAAACATTGCTAGGCAGAAAACGATCATTAAAAATGAACATTTTTATAATTATTAAAAGTTTAGGAGTTTGTTATTTTTTATTTTCATTAAAACGAGTTTAACGATCATTAAAAGTGAACATTAAACATTATTTATACCAGTTTGCAATTGTGTCAACGGTAACTTGTGAAATGTGCATGAATATTTTACATTTGTAATCGGAAATGATATCATTTTTAAAATCGGATCTGCCATTTGGTAAATATTATTTCTAACATAGAATAAAGATTAAAGAAGCTCCACTCTGGGATAGAAATAATTCCTAAGATGTAATAACAGAGGTTATTACTCTAAAATAAAAGATTTTTTCCTCCGGTTTAAATAAAAATAACGCGTAATTTTCTATTTTAAGAGCAATGAGGCCATTCTCAGTTCTCGGGAGGTAGGACAAAGCAACTCCGAGTCAAGTGAACAAGTGGAATCGTGTACAACTGCAATGGACATCGTACCTCGCCGCTCCTCTGGGAACTTACTTGCGACCACTTTAGGAACGAGGTTAACATCTAACTGGCCAACAGGCCTCGTTTTCAGTGTCTATATGGCAAAAGACAAAAAAAGAAAAGTAATTAAAAATAACATTTATTGATTTATAGTTTCTGAGGATCTTGATGTTCAGCAAATAAGTAAAATTAGTGTCCCTAAAATATTTTTTTAATTTTTACAAAACAGGTTTCTAGAAATAAAGATTCAAAATAGGAATTGCATTTGTGTTGTTAAAGTACATTTAGAGGGTTTGAATTCTCCCCCACCCCTGCCTCCTCCGCCATTTCGCTACATTAACTCCGGATAAAATTATAAAATCTTCGAAACTAAACGTAAAGGTGAAATCAAGAATTCCAATTGATTTTAAAATACTATTCAGTAACTTGTTTTTCAACTTCTTGAAATTTTATTCAACAATTTTTTATTAAGTAACCTGCCAATTAAGCATTAATGAAAAAATTAAATCACTTTTATCTGTGTTTCAAAAAATAAAATAAGTGACGACAAATACAAACTTAGTGATGAAGCTCTGCTGCTAACGCTTTTTAAAATTAATACTTGTCCAGATTGATGTTTAGATTAACAATAAAATTGTTTAAAAAAATAGTATATGATAATACCTTAAATTAAAAAAAATAATAACAACTTATTTTCAACTGTTCAAACGTATGATCACTTTTAAAATATGACACACTATCAATTTCTAAAGCTTTTTTGTTTTTATTATTATTTATGAAATTTATAACTGTATACAAATTAATATACAATCAGTAAATGTGATACAAAGAAATACAATACATGAAAAGGCTTGTAGAGAATCTATCCATTGGTAACATTCTAATAAAGTATCTAAATTAGGAGATCACGAGGCCATCTTATTTTCAGATACCTAGGGGGGTTATCAGGTTTACAGGAGGAAGGAAGATTAGAAACGAGAGGATTAGGATGGTTCTGAAGTTTATTATGGATGGATAAGTATCTGGATTGTCCAAATTGGAAACATATGGAACGTTTTGGTCATTATGGATTATTTGATTTGTTACAAAGTAAAGAGCATTAAGGATTTTACTATGGATTTTCGATTGTTAAGATTGGATACGAGAGGAATTCGATGGTTGAGTGAAGCCCTAAAGCTCAACTCCGTTAGTCCAAATAGGTCTTATTATAGTCATGCATACGATTCTTTTGTAATTAATTGGAAGCTTGGAGCGTTTGTCTAGTAAGCGCTGAAGTAGTCGGAAACGTCGAGCGGTTTCTTGTCGTTTCAGTCTGGTATGAGAATTCCAAGTGAGAGATTCTTCAATGTTTGTGATGTAGGATCGAAGAGGTTGGGATGTAATTTATGGGTCGTTATTAACTGATAGGACACATGTGTCATCAGCATAGGTTGTAATAATAGTGTTTGGGTAGGTTAAAATGTCAGCTCTATAAACTGTGTAAAGTATAAGACCAACTGACCGGAAAAAGAGGGATGAATAGGCATTGTTGTGATTTACTTGAAGTATCTATTAGTAAGAATTTCTATTTCTTTTTTTTTTCTTCTAACCCCCCAAAATGTTTATTTAATCAATTTACATATATAGTATACATAACAATACAATATATACCAGTAACAAATTCCTTCCACTGCCCGAGAGCATTTTAAGGATTGGGGATAGCTAAAGGTAACATATGTGGCAGAAGGCCTTGTGACTTTCATTGAACGGGGACTAAGAATTTCTAAAGTTCAATAAATATAAAATAACAACGTGCTTAAATCAACGAGAAGTAAAGAGTATTTTTCTTGGTTGAGATAGTATGGTTTGGACCTCAGGACAATAGGAATAGCTACGTACATCCGTTGGCCATTAAAAACAAAACAAAATAAAATACAAGATGTTTGTAGAAAGTTTATTTGATTCTTAAATATAACATCGGGAGTTAAATAAATTTCACAATTCATAATATCCGAAATTTAATAAGAGACCCCCCTCCCATTTTATCATTGAAAATTTTTTTTTTTTTAATTTATTTATTTAGACATACAATATTCTGTCACAGGGACAATAATTATATTGATAAATGAACACATTCACACCGTATATACAAAAAAAAAAAAAAAAATTAACAAAATAAAACAATAACTAAATAATAATAAATAAAACCTATATACAATAAAAAAATAAAATAACCTAAATATAAGTAAATTAAAAACATAAAAATACAATCATACCAATATACAATATATACAATCAGGCGGGGAACCCAAATCCCTGCGCTAGTCTCTCAACCTCCTCACCGGTGCTAAAGCCGGTGGAGTTTGAGCGAGAGCGCTTTAGCCACATACACTCATGTCTTGAGTGGAAAATCTGGCCATTGCCAGAACTCCAAAATAAATACTATAAAAGATCTCTGGGCCACTGCCGCTTCAACCTTCGAGGAGGGTTGTAGGGATGAGTGGAACTAGATAGGGATTGGGCTAGGGGATTTGGATGATTGATTTTATTTTATTGATGAGGTTCTGATGGAATTTTGAAAATTTTTCAGGGATAAGGTCAAGGACAAATGGGATATTAAGGTCATGATGTAGGGTTTTGTTGGTTACATAGAACGGAGCATCGACTATTGTTCGGAGGACTTTGGATTGAAAGGATTGGATGCGTTTGATGTTAGAGAACTTTGCTGTCCCCCAAAGTTCAAGTCCGTAGGTCCAAATGGGTTTCAGGATTGTCTTGTAGATCAGTAATTTGTTGTCAATTGAAAGTTGAGATTTTCTGGTCAGTAGTCTGTATAATTGGCCGTATCGTCGGTTAAGTTCTTGTCTTTTAAGTCTAGTATGTGGGTTCCACGTTAGTCTTCGGTCTAAGATAAAGTCAAGATACCGGACTGTGTCTGAAAAAGGATCCTGGATGGAATTAAAGTGGACTGATGGACAGAATCTGCGGCGGAGTGTGAAGGTAATGTGTTTACATTTGGATTCGTTTACTTTGATGCGCCATTTATTACACCAGTGCTCAATCATGATTGAGCACTCCCCCATGATTGAAAAAAATTAAAACAGATTTTATTAGCTGTTTTATTTGAGTGCTACCAGTGGGTAGTTTTTTTTTTTTTTATAATACAGTTGTAAATATTAAAAAAAAGTTAGCTGTTTTACTGCTTGTTTATTGATCTTTAAGGAGATATGGATTTGTTTTCAGAAAGTCAGAAGCTCTGAAGTAAATTAGTTGAGATAAAAAAAAAAAATGAAGTTTAAAAAAAAAATGAAGAACCCGCTTTACCCAGTTTCATAAATAAAATCATTACCTTTTGAAAAAAAGAAGTCATTCAACCCTAAGCTAAGGTTGACTGAACTATTCACCATTTGCTCAACTATATTTATTTCAGATTTATTTTAAAAAATACCAATATTTAACCAATAATTATTTAAAAACTGCAACGTGTAATAAACTCTACATCAGTTCATTAAATCTGTTTTCGGGTAATTTATTTATTTTGCTTCCTCTCTACCGAAGGTAGGGAAGCATTGTATTCGTGCGAGAGGTTAAAAAAATTATGTGCTCAGAATCGAAAATTTTAACTCACTATTAACGTTTCAGACATCAAGGATCAAATTTGGTTCGGTGTCTGTCTCTCTGTCGGTCTGTCAATAGTCAAATCGATGTGATGGGCATATCACCTAGTACCGTTCATTTGATTTTCAATGAAATTTTTAGGGATTGTGAAGGTTGGTGCCTAGATGGTTCCATATCAATTTTATCAAATTCCATCTAGGACTTCCGCTTACTTTTTTTAGATATACCAATATTTCAGAAACAACGACTATTACTTAAGTCGTCCAAATCTTTTGTTTCTTTTTATTACTTTTCAATGTACGATTCCTATTCATCACTCAAAAAAGGCCTAAATTTTTTTTTTTATAATTCAGAAACTATATTCATAAAATAGTATAAAACTGAGTTAGTGAACAACTTTAAATCAGTAAATATTCTACTCACCCCGTAATTTCCGAGGATAATCGTGCCTTTTAATGAATTTCCTCTCAGGTTCACATTCTGCAGTTTTTGTGGTTTTTCGTCATCTTCCTCTATGTCTTCCTTGAAATAAAAAAAAAAAAAACTAATGTCAAAAATAATTAAAATTTTTATTTATGAAAGGTAATGTTTTTAGCCATTATAATTTATTATTATTAACGATTTTTTACAACTTATATTTTTTTAGTTTTTGTTTTTTGCCACTTCTTTCGGTCTAGCCAGTCTCCCTCTCGACGACCTCTGGCAGCCATGCCTTCCTCCACATCCTGCAACCATTTCTTCCTCAGTCGTCCTCTTTTTCTTCTTTCTATCGGTTGATAGAGAAAAGTTAAATTTGGTAATCGATCCTCCGCCATTCTCTATAAATGGCCATAGCACTTCAGCCTTTTCGTTTCTATTTCGTAGAGTATAGTTGTTTCCTGTTGAACATTCCGCCTAATATTTTTGTTAGGAACATGATGCAGTCTGGAAATAACACAAGAGCTTCTCCAAAAGTCCATCTCCAATGATCTGGAGATGTTCCCCTTTTTTGGTGTTTATCCACACCATTTCAAATGCATGTAGAGTGAAACTTTCTACTATATTTTTTATTTGCAAATTTATATAATTATTATAAACAAGATTATTTATTTACTTATTTCTTTGTTGCCTCTATCCTGTAGGATCATTGGTAACACCTTCAAATTTAATTATTCGATAGAATTTCACCACCTTTAAGAATCTTAATGTTTTTTTAACTGCTCTTTCGCTGTCTTGTAAATTTTCTTTTAGGATTTGTGCCATTTCCCATTTTATCCTAACAGTTTCAAATATAGGTCAGTCTTTTATAATGTGTTTTACTCTCCTTCGGATATTACAGCTCTCGCATATCGGAGGATCAAGTCCTCTCAGTAGGTAGGCGTGCGAGAACTCACAATTTCCAATTTTTAATCTGCAGAGGGCTGTCATTTCTTTTCTAATGGAACAGACATTTCAAACAGTTGATTTAATTTTCTTTAATTTTAATTCTTTTTGTTCCCACTTGTTTTTCACATTCTTCTTATTTATTTTTTGCGTAGTCTTCTAGAGGTATATCATTAATTGATTCCACGAGTGTTGTCTTGCCATATTGGCTGCTTGATCGGCTTATTCATTTTCGGTGATCCCGCAATGAGAAGGAGAGACGAACTCTACTTCTTTGTCCTTCTCCCATAGTATCCACCAAACGTATCCTATTTCTTTCACAACATTGGTTTTGGGCCTGATATGCTCATTGGCAATTAGTAAATTCACAGTCTGTAACCACAACCAAACCGGTAGTTCCACTTGTCTTTATGTATTTGAGAGCTTCTCTAATGGCTACCATTCCACCAGTAAAAACTGAGCGTGAGATGGATATTCGAGCAGAACAAACCTTTTGAGGTATTTCTCTTTGAGTAGTTTTATATAAATTGTCCATCTAAGGGAGCGATTTAACTAGTAACATAGTAATGAGACTTCCATTTCGCGAAGGTTATGCAGCTGCAAAAAACCTACTCTGCAGTGCATCTCGTATTTGCTCAAAGGAATTGAAATATGGAGATTACGGAAAGGGACAGATGTGAAATGTCCAGATTTACAAGATATTGATGAAAAACTTTTCAATTAAGAGGTCGTGTATTTTCGCAAATCTGTGCCAATTGTGGCTCTGGTTTTAGGAATGTACTGTTCTATAACTTCTAGAACATAACGAATTGCAATGATATTACCTTTCACAATATGAAGTAGAGTAGAGGTCATCACACTCCCACATGTAATCTGCATTGAAGAAAGCAGAAACTTTTCGGCACCTATGACCGCTATAAAATCGTTTGTAAACATGATAGCCTGAGCAGTTTCCTCATCTAGGCGCTTCCTACACCATAAGTTTCGAAGTTGCTGGTGACGTCCTGCTGCTCCAAGTTGTCTTAAAGAGGCAGAAGATGTTAATACCAACTTCTTACAAACCATTAGGAGTGGTTTGAGTTGATATGGGCCTTGGCAGAACATTAGGAACTTCATTTAAGCTCAGTGGGGCACTATAAAAAGATTTGCTTCTTGCAGTCATTACAATATTTCTGTCACCACTGGGTATCGTAATGGACTGAGATCAACTAAATGCACTCCTATTGGAACTTCGGTAATTCTGAATCTGGCTAAAGCTTGGGACACCACAACCTCGAAGATGCCAACTATATCGGTGATGTCCACTTGCCGATACCCTTGACTGCTCTTTCTCAACATAATATTGCAAACTTCTGATTTCATATGATGTCTTTCCATTGTTAAATTCAATATTGCTGGATTAAATTTGAAAAAGGTAGAAAAAACTGTTGGTTTATACAATGAGTATTATTCATATTGACTATCCTTTAGTTATTAATTTATTAAAAATAAATAATACTTGATGTTTTTATGTTTACGAAAAAAAAATATATATAAGTATATTTTATACCAATATAAATTGGGGCTCGGTCATGCTGAGGAAGTTAGGCAGTTGGGTGAGTCGGTTGTTGCTTGCAGACAACACTTTCAGATCACGATAAGATCCAGGAGGCAGAGATGAGAGGAGATTTCGGTCAACCCTCAGTTCTTCCAACCTGAAAATAAACATTCATTTTAACAAAACGAAATACACAAACAGAAATAAAATAAAATTATGACATATTTCCTTAAATATATGTTTATCTCAAATAGTTAAAAAATAAATAAATGTTATGTTTTACGAACTTACATCAATTTTATTTAAGTTTTTTTAATAGAGTAATGAATTCATTATGATATAATAAATCACTATGTAAATATTTATAGTTTAACCGCGATTATTTGGCATCCCGAGGGTGATCTCATGGGGCACAAAGTTACATTTTATATTTTCCAAATTCTATGATATTGAATACCAAATATTTATAAATGTATACATAAATTAGAAGATTGTGATATCATCTTTAAATATGTCTTTATATTTACAAATATTTTGGAAGTAATAACGGAGAGCTAGGAAAAAGACAAAATATGAGTTCCAACTTTGTGTTTTGTAAGTTCCTTTTCGGACTAACAAATAATAACGGTCGCACTATTTAAATAATATTATTTATTATATTAATAAAGTTAAATATTTAATTTAATGACTTCAATGAAAGGTTGCTAAATTATTCTGCTCGATGACCATTAAATTTATTAATATATCATACTTCAACGAAAAGAATCTAGAAAAAAAGTTACGAGGGGTGGTAAAAATACATTAGATTTCCGAATAACTCTTAAAGTATACACTTTTTGATACTCTGTCGATGCTTATGGTTTTTTAAAGGTTTAAGAAATTTTCTAAAATATAAAAAAAATTGTTGAAATCGGACAATAGGGGTATGGTGTTTTAAATATTTTTCATATGTTCTACATCAAAGTTTATATTCTTTGTTTGGTTTTTGAAATGTTACATCAACTGAATCAATGTTTTATATTTTTCCTAGCAAATTACTAATGATGAAAAAAAAATTTAGGTTTATTATTAAAAAAAAGCCTTAACATTTGAATCACCTTTTATTTATTAATTATTTATTATATAGAAGGGGTGCCCCCCCCCCAAGATCGATGGCGCAAGAATCTACCTCTCTCCTCTCAAGATATTTAATTTCTCAAACCGTATTAAAAAATTAGAAAAATCGTAGATCATATGGAATTAAATTTGCTGCGGTCAGTTCCATGTTTTCCCATTGTTGTCCCTTAGTCCGAAAACTCTAAACCCCATCGAAATCCGCCCTCCCTCAAAAATTCAAAAACACATCAATATATGCTCCCTTCAAAAATTTTGATGGCGCAACCTATCCCATAAAACTCCCTTCTGGGTGCCCCTGTTTATCCTCTTTTAATATAAATCAAATAAAAAACTGTATCGATTTAAGTTCTCTTCATGACAATTTGCCAAATACCAAGCTGAAGGGCTTCACGAAATCCTTGATGTGCATAATCCAGAGATAACCCCGTTTTTTTTATTGAATGGTTTCTTAAATAAACTTCCTAATTCTGATTCGGGAACAGTAAATTAGAATCACTAAAACTTTACTAGCAGTTATTAGAAAAAAGCTCACTAAATGATGAAGGACAACGGTTTTTGCGACGATTCATATCTCTGGATAAAATCCTCTGAATTTGGATGATTCTTTTACAGCGGTTTATATACACTTAGATGTCAAGTGATCTGTAGGCGAAATAATCAGTAAACCATAAATATCATCACTATACATGTACAATGTTTGGGACTGACATACTAAAGAGTCCATACTCACTTTTCTGATAATAGATAAGCGCCATGACGATTCGACGATGGGAGAGGAGAACAGGAGAATACTAAATAATTCACTATCATGGTCGAATCCTGGTAGCTAATTACGAAGCACACAAAGTCGTCATACGAAGCTGAATCGCAAAAACAATCCTTGACATGTTCATTCCCTGAGGATGGCATTGCAATGAGCGGCTATTCCGGGCACACCGGAACTTGAGCAAGATCTATTTCAGCAATCGGTCAGCGAAGCGTCGCGTAGGTACCGAAGAGGGGGTGGCAACTTTCTACCTCTTTATTCTCTGCTTCTATCGAGTTAACAGCTATCGATTAGTCATCATGTCAAGTTAAATGAAAAAAACTTACTACTTAGTACCAGAGCTTACGTAAAGTTGTGAAAATTTATATGAAAAAACGCTGCAATAATAAGAGCTAAAGACGAATCGTATCAGGATGTACTCGACCAAGACTGAGACCACCGCGGCTGGCCTATCTGCACATGAACTGATAAAAGGAGCTCCTTATACTAAATTAATCAATAATGAAAAACAGCTCTTTGCGGTGAATAGCCTAATACTTCAGTGGATCATTACTTAGAATGGACGATTCTCGTCTCTTTTAACACCGATGTAGAACTAGATTATAGAGAACTTGTTTGATAAATTTCATTTCATCAGTGTCCTTAGCATAGTGTGAATGAATTAAAAATAGTTTTTAGGACATACTGTGTTTTGTCTTAATACTTGTTTGATTAATAGCATGTGTTGTTTTACTATCCTTTTTTTAGCACTAATATTTTGATTTTCATACACACAATGATGTAAATGTTAACCTTCAAAGCGCGACAGCGCAAACTTAAAATCGATAGCATTTTCAAAAACTGCACCTCCCACATAACATCATGACGGATTTCATTATCGAAGAAATCCAAAATGTCAAAACAAATCTAGTGGGCTCGTTTTCTTAGTATCATTTAATAAACTTCCTTCCTCCCTCTCATGGCACAATAATATCTAAGCCTTGATACTAAATAAATCAGTTAATATTTTAATAGATCCCAATTGTAAAAAAAATTGTATCAATAAATCGATATTGCATCGTAAAATCCTGAAATCGATAGTATTTAAAAAAATTCGCCTTCTATAACTTATTAAATGACCCTTATGTCAAAGAAATCCGGAAGTTAAAATAAAGCGATAGTTGTTCGCGCGATCATAATCTATGGTATGTTTTTAAAACGACCCACTATAGAAATATTTTCTTTGTAGACCAACAGCACCTATTAATTACCAGTTACTATCCTTGCTCAAATTTCTTCTCTAATATTATTATGCTCAGTGATGATAGCGTCTAAATAATTAAAATATGGTACTCTTTTGAAAAGGTATTATGTTTCTATATATTTAACTTTATCCTATTTTTTCGTTAGTTGTTAACAAAGACTTAGTTTTTCTTTTTTTGGCACTCCTTGAATACTCCTAGGAGCGCATTCGTTTCCAGTAATCACTGCATCATCCGTAAACACTTTATATTTTCTCAATTCGAAATACTGTTTGAATCTTTATTAGGTTAGTTTTTGGCCAGACATGTATCTTTTCTTTTGTAAGTGTGCATTATTGTTATTCTAAGGGGACATCTTCCCATAATAAAGTTTATTTTCTATTTCTATGCATATTTATGATTTCTCGTTGATATATCTCACAAATACATCCAAAAAACATTAAATAATGCTGAAAAAGAGAGTTTCCCTGGGAGAGTTACCCTGTTTAAGAATATTCTAGTTGTATGGGTTGTAAATGTCTTCGATATTGTCACTTGAATTACCTCTCCTTTGATGTCCTGAAAGGCCATTTTAATAGGCTCGATAAACTTCATAAGACATCTTGAGAAATAATTTTTTCCATATACATAGTTAATACGTTTCCCTAAACTGTCTTGAACTTATATATTATATTGGTATTTAATAAATCCATGTTCAAGAAAATATTTATTACGAGCGCAGAGGAAGGTATGTTGTTTGAATATTTTTTAGGATTCCATCTTTTGACATTTGATTTAATATATGAATCAAGTTTTTGTCAAATAAAAGCCATTTTAGTTCGCAATAAGTTTTATCCATGAAATGATTAGGAAATAGAGTATATCACTGGATCTAGCTATTAATGGATGAATGTAGGATCATCCCGAAGCCGCGTTCATAACGCAGATAAATTAGTGAACAGTTATGAAGTAGAAGCAGGATTGAGCAAAGTTATATTAATGCTTTGAGTAATATCAACATTTAAAATTAAAACATTTTTTAAATATGTCCAACGATACAGTTATAGAATTTAAAAGAGATACACTAAAACTTCAGTTTCAAATCCAGTGCGGCGTGTAAAGGCGCTTGCTAATTCCCCAGTCGAACTTTATAAACCCACTAAATTTTCAGTCTAAGCCTCATTTCTGCGAAAGGAAAGTTTCAACTTCGAGGGGAGGAGGAGGGGAAGAAGAAGGGATCGTGTAAAAGCGTCCCTTTTCTCATGTCAAAAAATAAAATATTTGAAATCAGCATCTAGTAAACTTTAAAACAACAAAAATGAAATTAAACAATTACGATATTTTAAAGTATGCTTTTAAACAAATCAGTAAGATTTATTTTATTTTTTGAGTGTTCTGGTTTAGGCTAAATGGAGATTTTAACGGGCTAGGGAGAGGGCGGAGGATTAATTCCAAAGTTATTAATAAAACTACAGAATACAACTATCGGATATGATTTCTTGTCGTTTTATGAGCAAATGTGTATTGAGTAAGCTCATTACTACCCTTACAGTTCAATATCACAGCCGTCTTGCCTAATTTAAAACGCCTGTTGAGAGGTCCAACTTGTCTCGTTCAACTTCCACAGTGGACCTTAAAAGTGTAAAACACTTCCAAAGTGGACACTGAAGATCATTATATCTCTTGAAGATTCTTTGTCCCAGTCTATATTCTTTAACACAACTAATAGAGTTTGATATTTCATATTTTTCCTACACAATGTTCCGCATTTTTCAGTTATTTGCTGAATAGATTCGAATGGTTGTCTGATAGGATCATTTACTTCAAAACGTCGTCAGTAAGACATTATTGCTATAACCTGATCCTGGTTAGCCGTCGGAAAGCCCTCTATTTCAGGAAACAGACTGCCTTTAACATTTCGACCAGTAGACAATGAGTCACCTCTTTCAGTTTGCTGTAGGTCGATGTCGGTAATAATCATTGAGCGCAGCTGCAGCAGGGTCATTTCTTGTTTTGGGTACACCTCTTCTGTATTTATGAGACTTCTCACATTTT